ATATTTGTAAAACCCGATCCAGACATATCGGATACTGTCCAGACGCCACCTTGATTGTTTGTTGTCAACCAGGTTCCTCCAGTTCCTGTACCAGGACCTGATATTATCACCCATGTACCATATGTCCCCATACCACTGAGATCTGTCCATGTACCGGTAACTGTATGCCCACCGGTTGTCGTGCCTGTCCAAGTTCCAGATCCTAGTCTATGTGGCCCAATCCAGGTTCCACCGTTTCCCATACCAAACTGTCCAGTCCAAGAGCCGGTTGTTGTGCTAGCTGTTCCACTCCAGGAGCCGGTTCCTCGCTCAGTAAAGTGGGTGGCTCCAACTCCACCCGTCCACATGTTTCCAAGTCCGATACCACCAGCACCAGTTCCATAACCATTTACATCCGTCCACAGGCCTGGCCACAAATTGGCACCAACTCCGTTACCTGACCAAAAAGCATTTCCAGCTGCCCCTGTAGCGTCGGCCCACGAAGATCCAGATGCCCCTGTATTCATTCCCGATGTCCCTGTCGCCCACCCGTGCAGTCCATTATGTCCATTCCATGAGCCACCTGTACCGGAATTCACTGTCCCTACCCACGTTCCATCAATGCCACCAGAACCAACCCATGTGTCACCAGTATGTTCGTTAGTTCCAACCCAAATACCATCTGAACCGCTCATCCATGACGATCCACTGCTACTACTATTAGTCCAGGAGTTAGTGTTCTGATCCCAGACCCACGATCCTGTTCCTGTGCCCCAATCTCCTCCAGGACTCCACATTCGATACCTGAATTTAAGTACCAGCTCAGGCCCAAAATCAACTCCTGCAAATCTCCAAATATTAATTCTGCTCTTTCCATTAAACATAGCTGTTCCCCTATTGCTGATTCTGACGTTATCAACGCCCGCAATGACACCATTTGAAGACATATCTTTTACGCCGTGATCAAATGTGTAACGAACCGACGAAGAACAACCTTTCAAAGAAAAATATGGAATTAAACAATTATTTTATGTCATAAACGACACCATTCTATAACACTGTATTATTATGTTTGTATCGATTCTAAGTTTATGTAAATTATAGAAATAAATAAATAAATTATAATTAGAAAAGTTATGGATATGTTTTTTATTTGTTGTTGTTTATTTTGCAATAATTAGACTTATTCCAGCCAGAGAACCCAATTTTTACGCGTAGTTTTAGTACTTTATATAGTTTTATCTTGCGTTCGAGTATACACCTCAAAGCTTCACTAAATACAGATTAGGTTTACATAAACCAAATGATTTATTTCAGGACACCGTCACCACCACCAAGCTTGATGTAAAAAATACCATCTTAATGAATTCTGCCCTTCAGAGTTTCCTGGTAAAAACGGTTTTAGGCCAAGGCTGTAGACCAGTGTCTTTTCACAGACAACAGGAGGTAGCAACAGAGGACATAGGGCCAACATAAACAGAAGGCAGAATACAGATGAACTGAGGGCGATGGGACAGAGTGTTATAGAGGGGGGGGGGGTTACATTAACAACCACCACCATAACCATTACCACCATTAGTAACAACATAATCAAAAAGGGGCATAGGATTATGTTCACCTTTCTTGGGAATATTTTGGCCCACTGGTGCTGTTATACATGTACACTGAGACTCACTAAATACAGAGCCCGGTGCACAGGGGCGAGATAGATTACCAAAACCAGCGATATATTCTATATAGAATCTGATATCAGGATCACGTCGTAAGGTGCAGACAGCTAATAAATAAAGAATACATAAATATATATACATACATACATATATAATAGATTTGCATAGCTGAACGAAACATGGGTCGTTTATTTCCAACAATGGTCACCTTCTGACCATGTTTCAATGGTAAATTATAGAATCGAAATAGGATTATTCTTTATGCTAGGTTCCCACTGTCGTGAGATGCGTAACGATAGAATTGTCCCTTTTGAGTCCACGATCCGGTACGTGCCGATACGTTCGGATACGTTTCTATACGATCAACACGATTGCTGCGACTGACGTTAATATAATATGATAAGACATGTTAGCATCCCCGCGATTACTCTACGATTAAAACCACGGTTTCATTTCTTGCAATAATCGTGTTAGTGGGAACCTAGCATTAACAAAGTAGGACTGTGTATAGATGACACGTGTTTTATTATCAACTATCGCTTTAATAGAGTATGTCATGAGTGAAGATGACCGATTCGGTAATAAACGACCCTTGTTTCAATTCGTTTAATATACATTTAGATAGATAAAACAATAATAATATATCTATATAGAATATATACCTTAAAACCATTGATCATCCTACCGTGACCGTAGATATTAAATAATTATAATTATATAAGCATCTTTATATAAACAGTGCTAGGTTTAAAACCATTGACCATTCTACAGTGATCATACATATTATCTATATATAAGCATACTTATAAACAGTGCTGGATTTAGATGAGGAGATGCCCTTGGTTGGCTATTCCACTTATGAGGCTGCCCCCCCCCCACCCCCACTCGCACACGATTAGAGCGAAAGCATGTCTAGAAGATAATTCAGCGAAGCTGATGCATGGTGACGGATGTTTAAGACTATAAATTTATACACGTTGTGCGGAGGCCCCCTTTGATCGTCAGGTCCTAGTCATCTCCCTGGAAAGCCTATAGATAAATCCGGCAGTGCTTATAAATCATTGCTTTACCAGAATATTTATAATAACATTATATTTGATTGAGCGCTTGTGATATAATATAGGAAGCTATATATAAGGTTATCAATACGTGTGTGTGTAGTGTAAAGTTTAAAGGAAAGCCGATACAGATCTTTTTTAAAAGACAGTGTTTATTCTTTTCTTGTTGAATTCTCATTGCCCAATATAACGAATTTCTTGTTGAATTCCCATTGCCCAATATAACGAATTTCTTGTTGAATTCTCATTCTATACCAATTTTAACGAATTTCTTGTTGAATTCTCATTCTATACCCATTTTAACGAATTTTATGTTGAATTCTCATGCCATTCCCATTTTTACTAATTTCTTGTTGAATTCTCATCCCTTTCCCATTTTAACGAATTCCTTGTTGAATGCTCATTGCATACCCATTATAACGAATTTCTTAAGGAATTTTCTTGTTGAATTTTATACCCACTGTATCGACTTTTCTTCCACCCGTATGCACTGCTCTGGTGATATTTTTGGCTAAATCTTTAATTTCCAATTTTTACGATTTACGGATTGTTTATGAATAATATAAATAAGAATCAATATACCTGACATTCAGTTTTTATCTGTAGTGAATTTCTATCCAATTGGATAAACTATTTAAGAGCAATGTATACAACATTTTGTGGTGTTTTTTGCTTTGTTTATTTTTAAATAGTGCTATAGACCTTCCATTACTGTCTGATGATTTGGAATACTCACTGTTTGTAGTTTGATTTCTAGGGACGGGAGGACATTCTTCCTGACACCCATTATCTTTAATACATCCAACTGCCTCCATATATCTAGAACCTAATGGACAGCACTGGGGTACGGATCTTCTATTTTTACATACCCAATAAGCCCGACAACCCTTTCCGTCATATAGATGAACAGTATTATCAGCCAACGTTTTACAATTATCTAAAATAGTTTTGATCAAATAAAAACATTATAAGGATAACAATTACTACGAACGAAAAACCGAGGTCCTGTGTACACATTGGCGTGCACGTAAAAGAACCATTGAAAGTTGAAATTTGATATAAATCAGTCCATAATAAAGGGATATAGGTTATAAAGGAGTAATTATGTTTCCAAACATATAAAAACTGCTGCTCTTTATTTCCATTTCCAGGACAAAATCAACATTTTCACCGTTTGATCCAGGACAAATTCAACGTTTGATCGAGGACAAAATCAACATTTTTACCATTTGATTCAGGACAAAATCAACATTTTCGCCGTGAGATCCACGCTAAAATGTTACAAAAAAGAAAAACCAAAATATCAATGGTAGATAATGTCCTGACTTAGCTTTAGTTGACTACAAAATGGGGCCATAAAAAGGCTTTATTTATATCAGCCGATGGTTGTCCAATTTTCAGTTCATCAGCCTTTTGGAAATAGCAAATGGAACTGAACCATTTTAGTCTAATATGGTAGATAAAAGCAAGTCATGTCCCGACTTAGCTTCAGTTAAATACAAAAGGGGCCCATAAAAAGGCTTGACCCAACATTTTTTTTATTTATATCGGCCGATGGTTGTTCAATTTTCAATTTATCAGAGTTTTGTAAATATCAAATGGAACTGAAACATTTTAGTCTAATATGGTAGATACCAAAAGGCCCCATAAAAAGACTTGACTCAGCACTTTTTTATTTACATCGGCCGGTGATTGTCCAATTGTCCAAATATTAAATGGAACTTGACCATTTTATTCTAATATTTCTTTCTTTATATTTTGTTTTGGAAGTGAGTACAAATTTCTCAAATAACAACCAGGATGACATGTCATCTGATCTCAGTTTGACTGGTTACATACCATATGGACAGATAACACTTCCTGCATCTCGACAAGTTATAGCAGACTGGTCCCAGAATAAACCAAACGGGCAGGGTCGTATCACAGAACGGAATACTGTTCCATCCAAAAAGCACTGAACGTATTTAGAACAGTCACCAGGATACGGGTTATAACCAACTCCTTTATCGATGATGCAACCATCACACAAACCTGTAAGACAGAAAAATAACTGAATTTCGCTTGAAGTACGCAAAGCAAAACATACATTGTACACAGCAAATTTATGGGACCAGACTTTCTAGAAATATTAAGTATACACTGCTTATGTGCATTCACATATATTTATGTTGCTTGCAGTAACTTTAGAGAATTCAAGTTTTCTCTATTGGAATATCGATAGCAGTCATTCACCAGGCTGGCCAGAAGACAACAATGCTTTAAGAACAATTGCACATCCCAAATAATCACAGATCTATCTCTATGAAATACATATACCAGTCTCGCATATTATTACAAAATACATGTACCGGTGCAAATATTATTACAATATACATGTACCGGTTTCGAATATCATTACAATATACATGTACCGGCCTAGAATATTAATACAATATACATGTACCGGTCTCGAATATTATTAAATATACATGTACCGGTCTTGAATGTTATTACAATATACATGTACCGGTCTCGAATATCAATACCACATACATGTACTGGTTAACAATACGAACTTCTCAAATAGATCAAAAGTGGTATCAGGTGTTCTACATATAATAAGCAAATTAATTATTACCCAGTTCGATTAATTTTGAAGTTAGAAACAATATGGATACTTTTTTATGACATAGAAGAATATCGCATCAAGGAATACCGAGTTATTGTTTAAAGATAGAGAGAAGGGTGTATAAAAGCAATGGGAGAGTAAATGAAGGATGATGTACCTACCATCAGTAGTTGTTGGAGGTCTAGGTGTTGTAGTTGTTGTAGTTATGGGTGCGGCAGTGGTTGTAGTAACTATAACATAGTAGAATGTTTAAAACGCTGAGTTAAAACAACAACTTCAGTTCATTGTCTGATGATATCTAACTATCCTAACAATATGATTTAAATCTACGACAACGAAAAATATTCAAAGAAAAAATAAGAGTTTCCCATACTCGATATAATAAATAAGTATCGTAAATTTCCTGGTTTTACATAAGTGGTAGCATAGGGGGACTGGGTAGCTCTGGGCCGGGCTCTCGGATTAACTGGTTTCCTTGGCCCCTATCGCCGTGAAGTATACGTGATATAATGAGAAAACGAAACTAGCTTGATTCACCTTTCCCAACCCAAAATTATGTCAGTTATATTTGTCCAATCTTGGTCGATGGACCCCCTGTCCAATCTTGGTCGATGGACCCCCTGTCCCCTCTAGGTTTCGGACCACTCTGACGGTGGTTCGAGAGCCAGTCTGCCCCTGTTCAGCGAGTTACGACTGCAGACCAGAACTTCCAGGAATTGGATCCTCAAATCGCTTATTAACCAAGACGGCAGAGGACATTACTGGATATGTTTGTGTGTGATGCAGTCTACCTGCACTTACTATTATGTTATGATTGATCTACCTGTACAAATCAGATTTTTCAGAGTTGTTACCAAACCGACCAAAGCTCTGAAATCCCTGACAAAGAATAAATCATTCTGGGAGCTAGCTATATCTCTGAGCTCTTCCACGAAAATGTCACTGCCTACTCCAACGGCTATCATTGTAATCCCTTCAGCTTTAGCAGCCATAGCTTGGTTGATTGTATCGCTTGGTCTCCTTGATTTACCATCTGTGATGACTATGACAATTTGTGGAGTATTTTTTCTACCCTGGTATCCACTCATCTTCCTCGCCTACAAAATACCCGACGGTTAATACAGTGTTATTCTTTTAGAACATTTAATATCGTATAAAATGGATAAAGGGGTAGTTAGATTCATTAAGCCTGTTACGTATCATACTAGACACGTGTGAAACCCCTATTCATAGCATAGGAAGTGACGTCACGTCACTACCTCCCTTGTAGATTGTACACGTCCATTACATTATTCTACTATAATAAACACGTGATCTAATCAACTATTGTCCTCGTGGTCGTCATTACAACAAGGCTTGTTGACTTCTCCGTTTCCTCCCTTGTAGATTCCGTTAAGACCCAGTCAATGTATTTACGATCAATTGGAAAGCTGATGTAGCTGGCTTTGTCTTCTTGACTTACCATTGCGATACCAAGTTCTGTACTGGTACCCAAACCAGGCTGTTTGATGTTCATTGTCAGTTGAATCATTCGGCGTTTGCTATTGAAAGGACGAAGCTGAAGTACATCACCGATCTGTGAGCTGAAAACAACGATACCAACATTGATATTGGAAGGACCGATTTCTAAACTTGCTATCAACTGTGCCACGAACTGTTTTTCCCTGCCCCAATCAAGGGGCTCAATACTGTTTGATCCATCCAAAACAAAAATGACGTCAGCTGGACTGCGACAAGCGAAACCTGAAATTTCAAACGAACTGTGAGCTAGGATGTATGTTGTTTCGATAAAAAAATTTTTTTATTTTTTTTGTTATTTAATTCATATGTAATGCTATTTAAACAAAATGGTTGCTTTTCTGAGTGCCAGTTCATGTAAGACTTAAGTGCAGGGTTACGTCTATTGTGTGAGTACAAAGACATCATCTGGACCACTTGCTTTCCCTGGCGCCATCTCAAATTACTATAATTTCTCTTTATGAATCTTTCATGTTTAGTAGTTTATTATTTGTTCCATAAAGTATTTCACAAATAGTCTGTGGGTTGCTAGTTTGAAGTTAAGGTATTTATAAATGTACTCCGTTCTTTTTTAGGAAACTATATGAAATCGAATTACTTTATTCAAAAGTTAGGAGAAATATAAAAGTATTTACCTCCAGGAAGAAAAGGTGTCCATGGAGCAAACGGTGTAGTTGGCATTGGGGTAGTTGTGGTGGTGGTGGTTGTCGTTGTGGTGGAAGTGGTTGTCGTAATTTCTACAATTAGATAGAGAAACCTTGAAATTGGTAGGGTGGGGGGGTACCTTGAGATCTAAGAGGCCTCTAAACGCGCGTCTTTACCTTGGTTTTTCTCAGATGTGTTTAAAACACATTTTTATCTTCCTTGCGTCATGAGGGTGGGGAGATTGGGAGGAGCCTCATAAATGGAATAGCTTATACTAAACTTAGGCTTAGAACAGACACTAAGCTAGTTAGTTGACCGACATTTTAAGTCCTAAATCGACGATTTTAGCCAAAAACACTAGCATACTTCGAGAGTTTAGGGAAGTATAGATTCCGCTTCTAGTACATGATATTGAAAAGGTTTATCTGGTCCTTGTGTTTTGACAGATGTAAAACGGAGTAAAACCGCATTACAAAATAGTAATCCAAATTATGGATATGGCGGCCATTCAGGGCAGAGATATATTCTCGAAGTAGACAGATCTCTGTGTGCAGAATGTGGAATAGCCTACAGCCCCTTTTTATATATATCCGGCAGTGTCGTTGAGTAGGCTTACCCTCTCGAAAGATTCGTTACCTTTATCTTGTCAAGTGGAATTTGTATTGCTGTTCCAGAAACGGAAGCATATTGACCAACTGGATAACAAACTAAAGTGGATAAAAATCCCATTTAAATAGCGGTACATTATATCTATGCGAATCGTTGTTTACAATTGTATTACAAAATGTATATCTGTTGTTATTTTGTCACATCAACACGAGTGGGACTAGCCGAACAAAATAGTAGACTCACCCCAGCAGATAAGTTCTCTCAAACTTGCAACCAGGCCCTGCAAAGCTGTGAAATCCTGTACGTTGAACAGTTTATCAGGTGAAGAGGCTATTTCCCGAAGTTCGTCTATAAAGATCTGATCGGAAATACCTACAGCAATTATAGTGATTCCTTCTCGTTTTGCCATCCTTGCTTGACCAATGGTGTCTTGTGGTATTGTGGATAGACCATCTGTGATCACTATAGCAACATGTGGAGTATTTGATCGCCCTTGTAAGCGGAACATCTTTCGGACTTCACTGATACCCCCAGCGGTGTTTGTACCTTCTCCCAATTGGGTAAGGTTTCTGGCGATGCGCTTAAGCATGGATTTTGTTTTGTACGGTTTCAAGCCCGAAACATTACCAATAAATGTACTGTAGACCACCATGCCAATATTTATTTGTGTTGGCTGAACGGATAAACTGTCTATCAATATTTCCACGAATTCCTTTTCTCTTCTCCAATCTTCTTTCTCTATACTGTCGGAGGAATCCATAAGAAATACCACATCCCCAGGAACATTGCAATTTACCCCTGAAATACCAAATATAAATCTGGATCAAGGCTATAATCAACGCTTCCTTTTCTCAAGCATCGAGTTGTTGCGTCTTATTTATTCAGTTTTGGGGGGTTGGATGGCCGAATAGTTAACGTGTGCGCGCTGCACCATAAGGTCAGTCATTGAATCAACCGGCGTGGTTTCGATTCCCCGGTTGTACGTGACAAGAAATAGGGTCGCTTGTCCGGGTCCTCCGGTTTCCCCCCACCCTTGAAGACCCCTACGCGCAAGCAAATTATTGAAGTAAAATTGAACCATATGTTAGTCCCGAAATAACCTAGTTTGTGTCGAGTGGACGTTAAACCCCATTTCTCTCTCTCTCTCTCTCTCACTGCGACGGTTTTATTCGGTTTTATTTCTATAGCCTTGTTTCTTCAGCATGGAAGCTGATCGGCACATGAAATGAAATGGGGATTAGCGTCCTACTGATCAGTTCCGACTGAGATAACAAAGACAGGCATACGCCATACAGTGTGCTATGGGGGACATTTTGCCCAGGTAACGGCGCTGCAGTCCACTCTCATATCGAATTCCAACTGCCAAAGAATCTTTTACGTGCAGGCCAATGTGTACACGGGGCCTCAGTTTTTCGTCCCATCCGAACGATTAGGCAGCTGTCCTTGCCAGGCCCTCTGTCCTGCACCCTTCACATGGGGAAATCACGCCGGAAAATTTCGGCCAACACTGGAAGCGAACCCGCGATTTCCATGCTAGCGAGCTAGCGTCTTGCTCGCTTAGCCACCGTGGCTCGCAAAACTTGTATTGTGAATAAAAAATTTGATTATATTCGATTTCTCGTGAGAAGGCGAACAGTTGCGTCTCAAACCGGGGATTCCATTTGAACACACCTGTATGTACTAGAATTATTTTATATTGAAACGTATGTCACAGTGGTTTAATATGCATTGTAATAAGGCGGATCTCGGATTTGTGTATAAGATGATTTGTGTATAAAATGATGATTTGTGTATAAAATGATGATTTGTGTATAATATGATGTGTGTATAAGATGATTTGTGTATAATATGGTGTGTGTATTAAATTATTTGTGCATGAAATGATGATTTTTGTATAATATGATGTGTGTATTAAATTATTTGTGTATAAAATGATTTGTGTATAAAATGAATAAGCAAATCGAAGCTGTGAAAATAACGATACGTCTTCTAAATAAATGATTTCAGAATTATTATGAATAGTTTATTAGCACAGGCGGTTAAAGGGGCATTAGATAAAGAGCTGACAGTTCTTGCTATATTAGTTAAAAACTACATAATGAAAATAGAATATGCTGAAAATTTCCGTCAAATTACTTCGCTCTGAACTGAGATATTAGCCATTGGATTCTAGCCTAGTCTCCGTCGTCATTGCTAACGTTGGTTTGATAACAAGCAAAGTCTCGATTATCCAGAGAACCCACGAGAATGGACAGGCGACCCTACTCCTTGTCACGTACAATCAAGGAACTGAAACGGGCCAAAAGAAAGACCTGCAATAGGCAGATTTAGTTCTTGCATAATACATGTGTAAAGTAGACGACAATACACCACTAGAAACTAATGTAGACAGATAAAGAGTAGAGGGGTGATAATTGACGGCCTTTCATCTTTGTGTTCAACGAAGTGGTTTAGAGTTAGTTGTGTAGTTCTGAAGGGTTTTTGGGGGTTTTTTTGCCTTTTTTGTCCAGTTAAATTTGATGAATTTGAAGTGTTATTTTAATATATTAAAATATATTTTGGTAATGAACGTGTACTACCGAATGCATCATTTTGGTTTATGGAGTTGCCTCCCTCCGTATTGGCGTCGTGCATCCAACGCAGGGCGCGTTGTTGGCGGCATTCAGCAAAATTATCTTCCCACCACACCTTACCCGCATTTTATTTTAGTCTGTTTTCTCGTTGCATAACCACTACCACTTCATTAGCACACTGATCCGCAGTGAATATTCGTTTGGCCGCTACAATCACTGATAAGGATGACATCGATGCGACTTAATGACTACAAAATATTAACTTTTTTCTTTCGACAAATTAAATTCTGAAACATTTTTTTTTAGTATTAGAAAAATAAATAAAGGTGTTTGAAGTATATCTTGATAAAAAAATATTCCATATTTAGCGTAAATAGGTACAGAAAATAGTACGCGGAGGCGTAAAATGGGTAAAACGATATAATTCTGCCCGTACCAGTTCATATTACTACGTTCGATGTAAACAACGCACGTGTGACCATCAATTTGACGGGGTTTTTTTTCTGTTTGTTTACTCTGAATTCTTTCAGAAGTACATTTTTTACCGTCTAATCTGATGGACCTGCTCGTGTTTCTTTTAAAACAACAAAAACAAGCCACAGAAGTAATCTTTTTTGGCGTTATCGATGCCATCTTGCTTTGTTGGTAAACATTGTGATGTGACGTCACCCTTAGAACTACAGCGGTCTGACCTTTTAAAGGTCAGTCATCTTGGACAGAGATAAAAGACGGATGTCGCATTGGGTCTGTAAAACAGATTGCTTCATTAGTAGTATTACTCGGTGGTTTTCTTTGCATTTAATAGGCTACTCTTTTTTAAGTGGGCTGATTTCATTTGTATTAAAATTGTTGGAATTTTTTAATTATTTGTGTTAAGTTCTGATTTTCAATGATGTTTTGTAATTATGATGTTTCTGATATTGGCTATGCAAACCATTAACGAATTTGCCCAGTTCGTATTTGTTACTGTTTCTTCTGCCTGCTTTCACAAATGAATGGGGTCAAAAAAGTTTTAGACCAACGTGCTTATTTTTTTAATTACCCTGGTGCGTGTCCAGATGAGGGGATGGGGGTCCGAACTCTCGCCTACTCGCACAGCGCATTTTTTTTTATCGTACATTCCTCTGTGGTGTTCAGGCATGTGGATATAACCTGAAATCTAAATCTAGATTTAAATAGATGAGGCGGTGAAAGGAACAGAATATAAATGAAATGGAATGATGTTTGACGTTGTACTTTTTTGCTCCAACGGGGCTAATGAAGACGGGCATGCACCACGCAGTCTGTTGTGAGGGGCATTTTGTCCGGACAGCGGAGTTTCAGCCCAGGGACCGCGCAGAATAAAGTTATATGATAAGTTGATGATAGTGACAGGGATGATTGCAGCAAAGGTATAAAGCTTTTAATGATAGTAGATACAAATCGGTGGTATTCCTGGGAAAGGGGGTTAGGGTCACCTTAATGTACGGGCATGCTGATCATTTCCCTGGGAGATATAGGGAAATGTATATTAAACAAAGATTTTGCTGGAAGTACCCAATCCCGTGAGTGGTTGTGTAGATGCAGTTCTTTCCCCTTAATTTGTGTCAAGACGACTTTGTTTTGAACATGTGCCATAAAACCCTTTCTATAACATCACTGTTTTTGTTTTAGTCAACTGTTTTTATTTCTTAATTGGCAACATCTTCTAGACAAATAAAGTTGAAATACATAGCATCTGTCAGACAAATCAGATCTATATTTCGTTTCGTATTTATATACTTTCGATGGCCTCTACTACATGGAGATCTGACCAGTTGTAGTGGGGGGTCGCGTCAGGGTTTATACGAGCGGCTTTTGACCCTATGACGTTAGACATTTGATTTACCAATCAGCGTTGAAGTTCTAGCAGTTCCTTGTATCGCATGCCAAGATATCGCTGCAACAGACTGTTTCATTGACTAATCCCTCACATCAACCAGAAGGCGGGTTATATAACAACTTTTCCAGATCCTAGTGTAGCAAAGACAAGTAAAACGAAATTTTGAACAATACAAAACGAAACGAAATAGGATCTGTATTTTAATGAGATTGGGTAAAACACTTGAGTGTACTTTTTAAATTCAGATACAAAGATGTTTATGTGCGTGGAATATAAATAACATGTGGTCAGTTTTGAGTCTAAAAAGTCGAATCCGGTGATAAACGCTCCCATTTGTGAACTTAGAGGACTGCTATGGATTTCATATGATGCCACTTAACTCAGAAAAAGCCGATATTGGTTCAGTAAGTGTTGTAGTATTTTTATTCACTTGAAAATCTTGGAATTTAAGAACCAGTCTGATAATGACAGAATGGTCATAGCAATAATTGTAAGGCTAGGTTTGGAATAAAATGTATCTTTCAAATACACTCATTAACTTTGTAAGTGTGTAAGTGACAGTATTTTTTTCTCCTTCTTTTTTGTTTTGCTTTGTTTTTTTGTTTTTTGATTTGGTTTTTTTTTTTTTTTTTTTTTTTTTTTTTGAGGGGGGGGGGGGGGGGGTTGTGATCAATGTGATAGTGAGCGACTAGGTACTATTTTTTATGTTAATAACATGGGCGACTGGGTATAATAATATGTTCATGAAATGGCCGACTAGGTACGAAATATTCATGAATTGGAGACTAGGTACAAAGGGTTCATGAATTGGGCGACTAGGTATAAAATGTTCATGAAATGGGCTACTATGTACAAAATGTTCATGATATGGGCGACTAGGTATTTCGGATATAATTACTCTGAATCGTCACAATACGAAATGGCGTCATGAACAGAAAGGGTTTTTTTTTATGAAAACAGTTTTACCTGGTAAAATAAGGGAAAGGTATAGAAACACCTTGTACCACTTATGATTTTATTTAGGAAGTTCAAGTTTAGTTTATCAATGTAGAATATATATATAAATAAATACCTTACCTTGTGTTGCAGCTTGTTCGACATTCAGGAATAATGCTAAAGCTAGCCATGTTACCACTATAGGGAGCCTAGTACATA